AACAAGGCGGCTCTTGCCTTGTGTCAGGAGCACAGACTGGAGCACAGGACGAAGCACATTGCTCTTCGCTACTTTCTTGCTCGAGAGCTTCAGCAGCGCGGTCAGCTTCGGCTTGTGTACGTGGACTCGAAGGCCAACACTGCTGATATCTTCACCAAGGCGCTCCCGCCTAGTGATCATCAGCGGCACTGTACTTCTTTAGGCCTTGTGTCCACGTTTCCTCACTTGCTCACTGCTTGACATTCTTTGTACTGTACTTTATATATATCTTGTTGCTTGCTTGCTAGGTTTTGATCACTGTGTTACTTGTCTTGTACTATATCTAGCACTGCATGTGAACTGGCCTTGTGGCCTTTACTTGTGCTCGGAGTGTGGTGACGTTGTGATCCACCCTGGGTTTTGCTTTGCTTTGCTGGACTGGTCTTGTGACCCTTTGTTCTCCCCCACTTTGCCTATGGGGGTGTGTTAAACTGTATTATGCTTGTAGGCTGTAGTGGGGTAGCCAATATGGGGTACAACCCCAACTAGGGTTTCATATTTGTACCCAAACTTCTGCTAGTTCAATCATTCTTGCCTAGCTATTCTGAAAGGTATTTAGCGGTGTCCTCGTGCCTTCGATGAGGCGCGCAAATGGATCTGGACGAGAGACTGGACTGAGAGAGTCTCGTGCTGGTGTTGGAGGTATGTTCCCCTCCTCAAGCTCTGTCCAGGTGCTTTCCCATCGGTGGGGTGAACGTGGAGGCGAGTGTGCGGGTGGCGGTCGCCCGAGGGGTATGGTGACGCGGGGAGATTCTTCTCCGCGCTCAGCTCGCATCTCTCGTTCTGCTTTCTCCAGTTCTTCCTGTGTTAGTTCTGCCTCTTCTGGTTCTGCCGTGCCCCATCCGCCCGTGGTAACCATGCCGCTGGCTGCAGTACCCCAGGCGCCATTAGCGGATCCAAAGGGGCGCCTTCCTCCGGTTCGTAATCTTCATCTCCCCATGCCCCTCGTCGTGCGGTTTCCTCGCTCCATCCTGCCGCAACGCGTTCCTCGTACAGCTTCTGTTTCTTTTCTGCCCTGGCCTTCTCCCGTTCTTCCTTGATGCTTAGTTCTCCTTCTGCATCAGGGTCTTTCCAGGCCGGGTCAATTTCGCGGCGATAAACTTCGCGAGTGTACGGGCGCGGTCGATTTTCTTCATCGAAGGTGCCGGTGTTAGCTTCGAGCATGAAGCGGAGGTTGTCGGAGCGCGGCGTTGGGCGTGGCACCGGTTGTTGACCGAACTGCTTGTTTTCTTCTCCGAAGATGCGGTAAGTTGCTACAGCGAGTTCTTCTTTGGTCATACCAGTTGGTTCCTCCTCAGCGCTTTCTGCCTCCTGGATCGCCGCGTACTCTCTTTCGACTTGCTCCGTGCGGCTCGCCGTGGGCGTGTGGCAGGTGGTGCAGAGGCCGTTGATGTCGGGCTCGTGCAGATTGATTTCGCGGGGATGTGGACTTCGCCGGATCCATGGCCGTCCGTCCGGATGCTGCCACGATGCTTCGTTCATGAAGGCGAAGTCGAGAGGGACAAGATCCACGAGTTCGTCGGATGAAGCTTGGCAGTTTGGTATGTCAAAGTCCAGAACGTAGATCCCGTTGATTGACCGAGCTCGTCCGAGGTATTTAGATGTCTCGGGCGGTGTGGTAGGAGGAGCGTAGGTGAGGATGAGATCGCGCGTGGCCAGATCCGTGGTGAGGATGACACCGCAGTCGCGAAGTTGTCCTGCCGAGAGGAGATTGAAGCGAAGGTCCGGAACGTAGAGCACGTCATTGAATGAAATGTGTGTGTTGCTGTCTCGTGATTGCAGGACGACGATGTCTTGTACGTTGGCGCGCACCTGATGGTTGTTGGCGACGGTGACGTAGGTTGCGGGGGCGCGGCTGAGGTTCGAGACGTATCGAACTGATCCCACCATGTGCTGTCCGCAGCAGCTATCCAGGTACCAGGTGTTAAGGTTGTCGGTGTTGTTGTTGCATAGTAGCAATGCGAGTCGCGGAGTCACCAGTGTTGCCTTGTAGCGCCTGTGGAAAGATGGGTCTTCGTCCTCCTTCCATCCTACAGGTACGTAGTGTTGATTGTCGTGCGGCGGGCTTTCCCGCAAAGTGATTGGCAGGTTCCAATCTTGCTCGTCTGGTTCGGTAGTGCGGTGGCACCGTGTCACCATGTTTGTCGTCACGTTTCTGGGAGCTCCAACCTGACTTCCCTGTACTTGTTGTGGTTGCTGTTGAGCAGGAGGACGGGGAGCTGATTGTTGAGGCTGGGGATGACGAGTGTCTTGTCGGCCGACCCAGTTGTTGTGGTGAGTGGAATTTGGGTGGCGATTGTTGAATCGAGACTTGCATCGATCCGTTGAGTGTCCGAAGACTTTGCAGATTTTGCAATAATGGCTCCTTGGTTGTCGTCGCTCTTCTCGGTTGTCTGTGTAGAAGGCGAGTCGCTCTCGGCGTGGCGCGGAACTCGTTCTGCTCGAGTCCATGTCCTGCTGTTCAGTCAGCAGTGCGGCGCATAGCGCGGCTTCAGAGAGCTGTCCTCGTTGTCGGAGTAGCGCCTTGCAGGGCTTCCACTCGGGCCCTGGAGGATGATGTTGACGAATATCTCCTCCGAGATAGAACTTCCGTTCTTGATTATTCGATCACGGATATTCTGACAACGGTTGATATAGCTGTTTGCTTTCTCCCCGTGCCCCATCTTGGTCTCTTTGAGTTGTTGCAGGAGACGAGTTGCAGTGACGGAATCCTTCGGCTGATATACCTCAACGAGGTGCTTCCAGGCTTCTAGGGCTGGAGCGGCGCTCTCTTTGTAGGAGCGGATGCCGAGCTGTTCTGCAGGCGACATGTTGCGCAGCAGGACGCTATACGCCATAAGTGACTCACTGTAGTATTGAGCCCGGGCGTCTTCGGTGTTTTCCACCGGTTTAGGATAGGAGCCGTCGAAGTAGTGATAGATCTGCGCTGTTTATAGGAGAATTTTTGACACACTGAGGAAGCGTGCTTGCGCAGAGTTGATTGTCTCGTCGCTTGGACGGGGGGCAGTTGTTGCAGATTTGTCTGAGTCGAGGGAGAAGCCATGCGCGGCGGTATCGCGGCTTTTCGCAGCCGGTTGTCCAGGTTGAACTGGTTGGGAAGTGGTTCCCGCATCGCCTTTGCGCAGTTTTTGGAGATCTTTCTCCATAGTTGACAGTCGAGCGAATAACTGCTCGAGTGCGGCTGTGCCGATCGTAGTTGTCGCCTCATTTGTCGCAGCCGGGTTGGTTTGTCATTCGACCGTTAGATTTGTTTGACCTCCAGATCCTCCGGCCATCTTGGTCTTGGAACGTGTGCCGCTCGCCAGATTTGGGTTCGGCGAATTTTACGGGAGTGACATTGCGAAGAATCCCTGAGTAGCTCTCATACCATGTTACAATCTGAAGTGGGACTTAACGAAACAAGGATCGTTCAGGGTTGATCGCATGTAGTGTTGCAGCGAAAGTAGTGAACTCAGGTCAGAGTGAATGTAAAATGACTGAGATGATAATAACATGCATACATAGGGTTTATATAGAAATACAAAGGAATGCGAAACGGCATAGACTAGCCATGTACTCTATGGGGTACATTCCCTTATTGCAGCGAAATTCAAACCGTGCAGCGCGAGAGTCAGTCTCAAACCTGTTCCCGCTCTTTTCATTTCAAATGTCTCTGCCTGCATCGGTCTCGATCAGGCGGTTGCTGTGTCGCTTCGATTCTTCTGACTCCTCGTCTTCGTACATGGTAGAGTCGGCTCCTGCAGCGTACAGGAATGCCTTCTCATATCGTAACAAACTTCTACCATTTGAACCTAGGTCGACCTAGGTTCGAGCTTATAGATTCATTTGGCTCGAGCCGCTGTTCCTCATTTCACATGTATCACACGGCACATACGGTAGAGTTCGACTTACTAAGTTCAGCTTTGAACAGTGATTTCCGAGTCGCGCTGAGGTTTTCGTAGGTTACCCGGTAGGGTGGTGCAGTTCGTGACCGTATCTGGCTTTAGTAACCGGGTACGATGTACCTCGCTACTGTCGTGAACCTCGCGGATTTTCGTACGTGCGCAGAAGGACACACGACTGGATGAATGAAAACGCAAAATCTGAACGCAGGTCGACTTTAGTTCAGTGACCTACTTCTTTCACTCAGTTTGACCTAGGACACATGATTTCCTCGCGAAAAGTTTGGCGAGATAAACGAGACGGGTTACCAGAAAAGGTTCATCTTTTTTCCTGAACTTCTAACACCTAAGGACACGTGCCCTAATGCTTCATGTGCTTGTTGACATATCGAGCTGACTTCATTTGCCCTTGCGTTGCGTACGTTCACGTACCAGACCCGCCGTCGCGTCGCTCGCGTTGCCGTCGAGTCGTCCGTGATCCTTGACTCGTGTGACCCGGACCAATACCGTCGATTGTACAGTGCAGTACAATACTCTAAACTCCCATGACGCTTCCCAATTCGCTCGCTCATGCGCCTTGGCCATGCGTTGCCAATCAAAAGCTCCTCCACACGCCGCCCGTCCAATCGTGTCGGAGTTGTAGTCGTTGCAGCTGCTGGGAAAGATTCTAAAGCCCAGCCCAACCACTCAAAGTTCAGCCTAACCACTCCCCGCCTCTTATGGCAGCTAATTTCCTAACGTGGGGTTCAAACAACGCGGGGATGAAAGCCACGCAGGATTGAAAGCAACGTGGGGTTGAAGCTACGTGGGGTTGAATATTTCACGCGGCATTGAAACTCGAAACTCAAGGCGCCTATTTATCAGCTGTGGCAGCCGGTGAGGTGACAGTGCCTCGCTGCTTCAGTTTCGTCGGCTAAGGAATTAGCAGCTGGCGGCAGCTCTTTGCTGCTTCAGAACCGCAAGCCCGTGAGAAGTCGCTTGACGAGAGACACGTCGGCGACAAACGCTGTCGCAAGCAAATCAGATCTGATTTCCAGCAGCAGTTGGCTGCGCGTTCAACTCGCTTCGTTCACTGCTGCCATGGGCAATTGCATCAGCGGCTGCTGCGGCGAAGATAAAAAGGCGCCGCCTGAGAAAGTTGGGCATGGATTAAGTAGAGGTGATTCGGGCCGACTGTCAAATTGTTTGATGGAAAGTGCGTCGCGCATGTTTCTCTCGTGCTCGGAAATCTGCAGCCGAGCCGCAGCTCATATTGTTTCCATGTCCGCTCTTTTGAGGCGCCTAAAAGCACGCAGCTCATTTTTCTCCCATGTCCGCCTCTCACAATTTTCCCCAATGTGCTCGCCACGCATTTCCCCTCTGCTATTTTCCCGCTTTCGGTGGCTGCTCCGTTTCCCCCCTACCGCCGCGGATCCCGCACAGACGAAGCTTCCACTCAAAAGGCCGAAACCGCCGGCGCGCCTCAGCTGCCTTCATACACGCCGTCCTCTGTTGCGGACCACCGCGCATACCAATCCGCGCCTCACCTCAAGCCGCGGAGCGTCCACCCTTCCGAAGTCGTTCCTGTCAACCCTTCCCCCCCGCTTGCTCAACCCTCCGCGGAAGAACTACCGCGCGCCCCGACCGCCTCCTCCGGAGAGCGCTCGTCCAGAGAGCGCGACTGTTCCGCGGAGCAGGGCGTCGCCGCCGTTCCCCCCCGCAGCGCTGACGACTCATCGAGTTCCGCTGCACCCTACTACGACCCATCGCAATCCGCAATATATTACAACTCGAATTACGTCCCCCAATCCATCCAAGACTCAATTGATTATGCCGCCGCAGCCGCAGCCGCAACCGCAACCGAGGCACCGCAATCGCCTCCCGCCGCAATTTCCGCCGCAATTTCCTCCGCCGACGCGGAGCCTATTTCCAACTCGGCGCAACTCGATTCCATCACGTGTACACATGGGAGCCTCAGCGACTCCGCGGACGCCTCCGCCTCCGCCTCCGCCTCCGCGCGGACGTCCGCCGAACTCCCTCCGCTCCGCGAGTTCAGCTACGCGGAGCTGCGCGCGGCGACGGAGGGATTTGCGCCTGCGCACGAGATAGGGAAGGGGGGGTTCGGAACGGTGTACCGCGGGCGGATAATGCTGCCTGCGGCGGACGGCGGAGAGATGGTTGAGCGCGAGGTGGCGGTGAAAGCGACAAACGGAAAGCAGTTCACCGAGCGAGACATGAAGAGCTTCAAGGTGAGTCTACTTTGAGGTGCCGCGAATGCGGATGGCGGAGAGATGGTTGAGCGCGACGCTAGGTGGCGGTGAAAGAGACCAACGGAAAGCGATTCACCGAGGGAGACATGAAGAGCTTCAAGGTGAGTGCTGTCGTGCGTGCTACTAGTAGTAACGACTTGGTATGGCTATGGTCAAAAGGGGAAGGAGAAGGGAATAAAAGTAAATTCTTTTATAACAGACAACATGCCGTTTCTTCCTCTGCTTACCTGTCCCCTCCCCCCCCCCTCCCGTTCCTGCCCCTCTACTATGCCGTGTTTTCAGGCTGAGGTGGAAGCCATGTCAGCAGTGAATCATCCCAACATTCTGACGCTGGAAGGCGTGGCGTTCAGTGCGGAACACAGGCCGCTTCTCGTGTATGAGCTCATCCCTGGAGGCGACGTTTTTAAACTCCTGCAACAAGGTGAGAAACCCCTCCTCGTGTATGAGCTCATTCCAGGCTCATCCAGGTGAGTCTCCCCCCTCCTGCGACGAGGTGAGGAGAATCCCCTCTCAGGTTGTTCATTTAGTCTGCTGTTGGCGGTTTGCGGGGGGAGACAAGGCCAGGCTGCTGTTTGGGTGAGAGGGGATTGCTTTTCAGCCTGCTTGATTGGCTGCAATGACGAGGCCTAGAAACTCTCATGTATCAGCTACTATCCGCAGCTCTCATGTATCAACCGCTGTCTGCATTGCTTCTCTCCCATGTTGAAGAAGTGTTTTGAGACGTCTCAAAACACTTCTTCATACACAAGGCCTATAAACTATCATGTATCAGCTGCTGTCCGCATTGCATCTTTCCCATGCCGGCCCGACGTGTGAGTTCCCACTCTTTACCTCCTACCCTCTTTCAAACCAAACCACTGACCCTCTCCCTCCTATTCCCCGGTTTCACCTCTCCCCCTCTCCACACTCTCCCTTTCGACTTCCCCCCTCCAGTCCGCGGGAAAGAAGCACAATTTCCCTGGAAAGATCGTGTGAAGGTTGCACTGGGGTGTGCTGAGGCGCTAGCTGCCATTCACGAAAACAAGTTTATTCACCGTGATTTCAAGTCGATGAATGTGCTTCTGCGACAGGTAAGTCGGAATGGGTTTAGCCTATGGATGTGTGTTCTCTCTCTTTGCTTATGAAGATTCTTTCCTGGTGGGATTGTGTACATTGCAGCTGCATGCTACATTTGTTTCAGCAGCACCCTGTGATGTCTCATCTCAAGTCGATTGATTGCGTTTGCACCCCAATTCTTTTTGATTGTAACTTGTAACTCGCAGGATCGTACTCCCGTGGTGGCTGACTTCGGTTTGGCTCGCACAATTGAGGATTGGAAAACACACGTTTCAACAGGCGTGGCTGGTTCGTGGGGCTACGTCGATCCACACTATCTTGAGACAGGCAAACTGTACCCACACGCTGACACGTACGCATTTGGCGTGTTTCTTTTGGAGCTTGTTTTTGGCTATCAGCCCTTGGAAGACGAATATAAAGAGCGGAAAAAAGTGGTCAGCCCAAAGGATTTCAACAAACCTTCCTTGGTTGCCGACCCAACTATGGAGGGGGAGTGGGAAAAGAAGCATGTTCTTCAAATCCTTGCTATGGCTCGCTGTGCCACGCTCACCAAGCCGCATGATCGGCCTGCAATGGGGCAATTAGTGGCAGTATTTCAACGTATCTGGAGCGAAATTTAGAGTGACTGGTCTAGCTCGCGAGAAAAATAAATCTGTCTCCTGAAGTTCTATGTTGATTTAGACATAAGGAAAGTGCTTTTTGTCGAATCATTCTGTTACTGTGCTCTCCTCAACGAGGTCAACGGTGTCGTAGTTGTCGTACCAAACAGCCCAACTTCCGTCCGTACCATCATTGCCCTGATATAGACCACCTCGCTTCACGCACTCGCTCACGTACATTGCAACCACTTTCCCATTCAAACGTCCATTCCCTCTTGTCCCGTCACCCGTGCACGTAGGGATTTCCTCGCCACGCGCGTGGGGAGGAAGGCACGACGCCACGCCAAAATCCATCCCCGAAATGCTGTCACGTCTGGACGGTGGATGCCAAACTATGATGCCTAAATCGACGGCTACGAGCTGCCGTTGTTCCACAACACCCCCAGCCCACATCGCGCACAAGCCAAGTGATCTTCCACCCACCTTCCTCACTTTGACGGTTCCACCTCACTCCACCCCTGTATCCACTTCTAACAACCGCTCGCACCCACCCACTTCCTTCTGCACCTGCATACGCGCTTCGACTGAAGTCAATTATCTTCTCCCCAGAGGCTCACTGCCCATCAGCTATAACCCACAGCTCAGATTTCCTCTTACATATATTCTCGCACTTCTCGCTACCAGTCCATAGTGTATAGTACTGGTGCCTGGCAACTTCTCGCTGCATCTCTCAGACCTTCTCCGGTATATATTGTCGCATTCGTAAAAAACTTCTTAGTGTATAGTAGTAGTATATTCATCGACTGCCGTCCTTACGCCGCGTGACCAGCGCCTCCTGGCAACTCCTCGCTGCATCGGACAGTCGACACGGTCTTCCCGCTGTCACATATTTTCGTATCGACTCAGTTTTCACTTCGTAGCTATACATCTTCTTCCCGCAGCCTTCGAATATTACCGTCATTATCTTTTAGCCGCGAAATCTCTCGGAATCGGGCCTTTTCGGAAACTCCGCTTACAGCCACTGCCCAAAGATCAACTCGTTAACACCTCGATCCCCCTAGAGCTTTTTAACTCGCGAATATTTCTACACCGCATTTATGGGCAACTGCTGTAGCAGCGGTTTTTGTAACGACGACGGGCATGCGGCGCCGGCGAAATTGACTATCGCGGGCGGTGAGTTCAAATGCGAAAAGTCATTGTATCACTAAACTTCTCGTCAGCAGGTTGCCCCTCGACATTGGAGCCCACTGCCTTTCCACCTAGTTTTCGACCCCTAAGGACCCTTTGACCCTTTTGACCCTTTTGACCCCTCTGGACTTCTCTGACCCATCTGACCCCTTTGACCCCTTCGACCCCGTTGATCTCTTTGACCCCTCTCACCCCTCTGACCTCTCTTGAAGCGCCTCGAAAGTTCAGACTCACTGATCTACCCATTCCCCTTTCCCCCGCTACCCCGCGCAGACAACTCCGCTCCACTTCCCGCAACTGCCGGCGCGCACCAGTTCCCCGCGGGTACCATTCCGCCGTATTCGCCGTCCCCTTTGTCGCCATACCGCCAATACCATTCCGCGCCGATCCGCGGAGCAACCCCCCACCATTATTCCGCCGTCGTTCCCGTCAGCCCTTCCCCCCCGCCTGCTCAATTTCCCGGAAGCACGTCCGCGCCACCCCCCGCCTCCTCCTTTCCCCCTTCCCCTTCCGCCAACCCCAATAATGGCTCCACCGCCTCCCCTTCCGCCAGCCCTAGTCTCCGCGCAAACGCCTTCCACAACTCCGCAAATCCTTCCGCTTCCGCTTCCGCCACTAATTCATCACCGGAACCGCTCCCCAACTCCATGATCTCCGCGGGGTCTTCCGCCAGCCAGTCCGCGGGCAGCTCCGTGGGGTCTTCTCGCGAGGGGAAATCCTCCGCTTCACCCTCCGCCGTCCCTGTGCTCCGCGAGTTCAGCTTCGCGGATCTGCACGCGGCGACGGAGGGGTTTGCGCGCGCCATAGGGGAGGGGGGCTTCGGGAAGGTGTACCAAGGGCGGATGATGCTGCCGGCGGGCGGAAGCAGCGCAGCTGTCGGGAGTTCCGCCACAGGCGGAAGCAGCAAATTTGCTATGGGCGCAGCTTGCGGCGAGACGAGGGAGTGTGACGTGGCAGTGAAAGTGATGAATGGGAAGAACGTTACTCGTGACTTCATGAGCTTCAAGGTGAGCGAATACTAAAAGCGAATCACTTCTGGGAGTGAATGTGACGAATGTGGTGTACAGCAACAAACAAGAAATCAACAGTAACATATAAAAAGCCAAGAAACCATGCATTGAAGCAAACTTCAGTCATTTGTGCTATTTCCAAGGCATTTCCATCCCCTCATCCACTCCCTGTTTCTTTCGTATCTTAATCCATCCCGTAATTTTAGGCTGAGGTGGCAGCCATGTCAGCAGTGGATCATCCCAACATTCTGAGGCTGGAAGGCATCGCACTAGACACATCCCAGGGCCCCATGCTCGTGTATGAGCTGATCCTACCTGGAGGAGACGTCAAGAACTTGCTCAAACAAGGTGAGAAGAATTTCCTCTCATGTTGAAAGGTGAGGCAGAAGGCACACCACAGACGGCAATGCACATGTATGAGCTGATACCTGGAGGCGATGTCAAGAACTTGCTCGAACGAAATGAGTAATTTTTTTCTTTACACTCCCTTTCCTTCCCCTCCCCACCCCTCTCCACTCTACTTCGTCTTCTCTCTTCCATAGTCTCTCTCACATTCTCATTCTTCTCTCCCAAGTTCAGCCTCTAATCTCCCTCTCCTTCGACCCCCCTCCCCTCCCCTCACTCGTTCCCCATTTAGTCCAGAAATGTTTATGTTCACTTCCAATGGAAGCATCGCATTCACTAAGGCGTTTCTTCGAAGCGCCTGAAATCCCCCCTTCTCCTGCCCCCATTCAGTCCAGAAAAATGATTATCACTTTCCATGGAGGCATCGCATGGAGGTGCTTTTGAGAAGTCTTTTGAGATGCCTCTAATTCCCCCTCTCCTCCTCTTTCGCCTCTCTCCTTGGTCCACTCAGTCCACAAAAATGGTCTTCACTTCCCATGAGGCATCGCATGAAGGTGGCACTAGGTGGTGTCTTGATTGGATTCAAATCCCTTCTCCCCCTGGTTGTCCCCCCCCTCCCCCCCCCCCCCCCCCTTTCGCCTCCCTCCTTCCCTCATTCAGTCCAGAATAGTGGTCGTCACTTCCCATGGAGGCAACGCATGAATGTGGCTCTAGGCTGTGCCGAGGCACTAGCCGCCATTCACGAGCACAAGTTCGTGCACCGCGATTTCAAGTCTTCAAACGTGCTTCTGCGAGAGGTGCGAAATTGAGATTGTATCCCATATCCTCCTGCTGTGCTGTCCATTTCTCCGCTCCATAGCGCTGCTTGATGCACATGTTCCCATCACAATTAGTCAATTCGTGCTGTCCAAATCCACCTATATATGTGCTAACTAATCTTCATGTCTCCGTTTTCTTTCTACTTGTGTGACTTGCAGGATTTCACTCCAGTGGTGGCTGACTTTGGTTTGGCTCGCACAATAGAGGATTGGAAGACGCACGTGTCAACAAAGGTGGTTGGGTCGATGGGCTACATCGACCCAATCTATCTCCAGACGGGCCAACTAAGCCAAAAATCAGACACATTCGCATTTGGCGTGTTCCTATTGGAGCTGATTTCAAGCTGCAGTCCCCTCAATGCAAAGTTTCAAGAGCTGAGGCAGTTGGTAATTTCCAAGGATCCACCGGAACCTTCCTTGGTGATTGATCCTTCTCTCGAAGGGGAGTGGATGAGGAGGCATGCTTTTATTCTCTTCACTCTGGTTCGCTTTGCCATTTGCTGCAATTGGGAGCAAAGGCCTCCAATGTCAGTCATTGCCGCCAAGCTTAGGATGATTTGCAGCGAGATAGAGGCTTAAAATACGCTATTAAGCAGAAAGGTCTTGGATAATGTGTTGATGTTGTGTTCATCTTGTTGTGTTGATGAAAGTTTGTATAATGAATAGTACATACGAGTAGCTGAATAAATGGCACTTCGTGTTGTTGAAATAATTGCTGATTACATGTTTGCATGTGTACCAGGCTAGGTTGAGTGTGGGATGCTAATAATACCCCCTGTATGCCCGCACCGCATGGCTGCCCTCGTGCCCCCAAGGCCCCCTTCCACCGCATCATATTTGTAAAATTTGGGATCTCGATTTGAGCCATTCTGCAGAGCAAATGGGCAAACAATAGTGCGTCCAGATTCGGACAATTTATGGGCCTGAAAGGCTTATCACTAGATGTTCCTGAAACCAAGTTAATCAAAACTCTGAAAAATCACCAGGGCGTCAAGACTCAACAAAATTCCGCCACTATCGGGTACTGCCACACGTGATGACAATCGCCATTTCCTCCTCGTCATGACAATCTCCCCTGACACATTTTCAACCTTCCCTTACACGTCAAAGCCGGCAGCCCAAATTGCACAAGTTTTAAAAAGATGACGAGAGGGGGTTTTACAGTTTTGGGTTTTGGCGAGTGTTTCTGATTTCGTCAAATTCGTTTTTTTCGCCAGACCCAAGGAGCCCCTCGATTTCTCTCTGGTTGATGTGTCTGACTTCGGGAAGTCCCAAATTGCACCTGCGCTACCTTTCAAAGCTTGAACAGGCCACTTCGTCAAGTTTTAAAAACTTGACCCGCGCGGTCCGCAATTTGGGCCGCGGGCTTCAAGTGAGACCTGCCACGTAGGCAGCAGCTGACATTCATTGGTCATGACGTGTCTAGTTAGTCGCGAGATCCTCACACACCACCACCATCACAAGTCGAATTCGCAAATCTCTTCCGTTCCCCCATTCGCTCGCTTGTGCATAGCCAGCTCCCACTTGCGATTCGGACTTGAAGCAGCTGCAGGGAAAGAGGCCCTCCTCCCCAACAAATTCCGATCCCCCCCCTCCCAGCCCAGCCCAATCCCCCGTCAGATTTCAAATAAATTATCAGCACCTGCAACTGATTTCGCACCTCGAGTTACCAGACTAGTAGTAACGCGCCTATTCATAGTCAGCAGCACCTGGCGGCAGCTCTTCGCCGCTTCAGAAACCGCACAGTTTGCTTGCTTTGAACTCGCTACATTCATTGTAGTCATCTTTTGAGGCGCCTCACCAACTCCTGTCGCCAGCAAATCAGAGCCTCGGAAACAGGCTGATTTCGCGTTCGAGAACCCACTATATACCATCACTGCAGCCATGCGAAATTACTTCTTTCGCCGCAGTGAGTAACAAGATGGTGCACGTTAGTAACGACCTCGTCGAGTTGAGGGTGATTCACGAGCCAGACTTGACTGTTGGGAAGACTGCACTGGCAGTCGTTGACTGAACACCCCATCCCAAATTTGTTTGTTTCCGACGCTTGGAATCACGATGATATAGCTTGTGGGGAAGTTGTTGCGGGTTTCATCAACGTAACCTGCATCACGACTCGAGTCGCTTTTGCCCCAAATATCTTCAGCAAAACTTGTTGGTTTGAAAGCCTCTTTTTTGTTTAGACACCCTTCCAGTAAACTGCAGCGGATGTATTTCCAAATTCTTCCCTACTCTTCCCCCAACTTGTCCAGGAACTTCTATATAATTTTTCCTTTTTTTCGCTTCCCGCTCCTCCATTCAACCCATCGCCCCGCGCAGGCGCCGCCGTTTTCCCCCACACTCCACTCCGCGAGTTCACCTTCGCGGAGCTGGACGCGTCGACGGGGGGATTTTCGGACTTACTGGGGGAAGGGGGGTTCGCGAAGGTGTACCGCGGGCGGATGATGCTTCCTGCGGGCGGAAACGGCTCCACTGGCGGCGGAAGCAGCGCGTCTGTCTCTGTCGCAGGCGGCGACGGCGAGATAAGGGAGTGCGATGTGGCGGTCAGAGTGATGGAAGGAAGGCCGTTCACGGCTCAAGAGCTAAATGGCTTCAAGGCAAGTTGAAATAGCGACTTAGGGGCTTTAAAGAAAGTATATCTAAAGGCATAATGGCTTGAAGGTGAGTAGCTAAAGGCATTCAAGCCTGATGGCCAAAACGAGAATAAAAGCGAGTACACAAAACTCTACCCTCGCGTGATCCATTCTTTCATTGAGTAGCTGTCCAGATCCATCTGTCTCTTATCCGTTCCGTGTTTTCAGGCTGAGATGGAAGCCATGTCAGCATTGAACCATCATTCCAACATCCTGAGGTTGGAAGGCATGGCGATGGACACGGAACAGAAGCCGGTTCTCGTGCATGAGCTGATTCCTGGAGGCGACGTCAACGATCTCCTCCTAAGAGGTTGGTTGTTTTGCAGTTGGTGGCTTTTTGGTGGAGGTGGTGGTGTGTGGGAGGGGGGAAGGTGGGGGGTGGAGAGGGGGACTGTTAGGTTCTCGTGTATAAGCTGATTCCTCCCTCCACCCAATTACTAGCGCTCCCATGATGTTTCTCGAATATATGACCTCCGAGGTACAATAACCTGATTTGCTCTAATGACTCGTGTGAGCGCTCTCGCACGATACCTGCAATCAGCATTGTTCCACTCCCGTGTGATGTCTATTTTTTTCCTCCTATTCTCTTTCGAACCCATTACTCTTCAGTCACTGACTCTCTTTTCCCCCATCCCCTTTATTTCCCTTGCTTCCCCCCCCACTCTCCCCCCTCGCCTTCCCTCATACAGTCCGCGGGAACGAAGCACGGTTTCCGTGGAAAGATCGCATGAAGGTTGCGCTGGGGTGTGCCGAGGCGCTGGCTGTCATTCATGAAAAGGGGTTCATTCACCGTGAATTTAAGACGTCCAGGGTGTTGCTTCGAGAGGTACTGGTTAAGGTTTAGCCGTGTGCGTCCAGGGTGTTGGTTAGAGGGGGTTTTATCCCTTTGTTTTATTGCTTTGTTTTATAGTTATGTTGTGCTAACCCATATTGCGTTCACTCCAGCTACATGCTACATTCGGTCCACCACCATATTGTGATGTCTCACCACACCTCATTCGGATCTGTTTGCTTTCCGATTTAAATGTTCTATTTCGTTCTGTCTGTAACGTGTAACTCTGCAGAATCTCACTCCCGTGGTTGCCAGCGTTGGTTTGACTCGCTACGTTGGGGATTGGGCAAGACGTGACGAGTCAGCACAAGCAGTGGTCGGCACGATGGGCTACATCGACCCAAACTATTTTGAGACGGGCGAAATATGCCAGAAAGCTGACACATACGCGTTTGGTGTGTTCCTTTTGGAGCTCATCTTTGGCCAAGAACCCACGAACCCAAGGTATCAAGAGCTGAAGGTGGTGGTCAGCTCCAGAGGTTTTGACGACCCTTCTTTGGTTACCGACCCTACTGTGGAAGGGGAATGGGAAAAGAAGCATGTTCTTAAAACCATTGTTATGGCTCGCTTTGCCACTAACTTCAACCCAAAGAAACGGCCTCCAATCAGTCACATAGCTGCAGAGCTTCGGGGAATCTGGATTGAAATGGGTTGCTGATAGAAGATAATGGTCCTGATGAGTTACATAGTACATTGCACGAAGTGTGTATGTGTATGAGTATATATGTGTTTGTTTATGTTTTGCTACAAAGTGATAGTGTTTGGAATGTAAACCTTGGGTAACGATTCGAAATGTTCATTCCTACCACTGTCGAATAGGGAGCATCCTTGAACCACCTCACGCACAAAGATTAACGCTCTCGGAAATCTGCACCACCACACGATCCACCCCCACGCACTACTGTTGAGCCACACACTACCTCCTCGGCTCCAACTCCCGCCACTTCCTCACAATCGAATGTGAGCAGGGGTTTCACCTGTCAAACTGTATATGCTAGTTTTGTGTAGCCTATAGTTCCTGCTAGTTCTTCTGACATGGTTTCAGAGCAGTAGGTCCGTAGGACCGACGTCTATTTTTCCGGGCCGACCGACCGCTACCCCACGCTCTAGCCGCCCACTACCTCGTCAGCCCCGCGCGCCGCCCGCTCGCTGCCTCGTCAGCCCCGCGCGCTGCTCACCTAGACGCCCGCTGCCTCGTCAGCCCCGCGCGCCGCTCGCCAGCTGCCTCGTCAGCCTCGTGTGCCGCTCGCCTGCCTGCCCGCTGCCTTGTCAGCCCCGCGCGCCGCTTGCCCGCTGCCTCGTCAGCCCTGCGCGCCGCCCGCACAGCCCGCCAGCTGCCTCGCTAGCCCCGCGCACTGCCCTCCCGCTGCCTCGTCAGCCCCGTGCGTCGCCCCAGCCGCCTGCCCGCAGCCCGTTGCTGCCCCGCGCGCTGCCCGAAACGCTTGCGCGCCGCCTTAGCCGCCTGTCCGCAGCCCGCTGCTGCCCCGCGCGCTGCCCTAACCGCCCGCGCGCCGCCCCAGCCGCCTGCCCGCAGCCCGCTGCTGCCCCGCACGCTGCCCTACACGCCTGCGCGCCGCCCTAGCCGCCTGCCCGCAGCCCGCTGCTGCCCCGCGCGCTGCCCTAACCGCCCGCGCGCCTATCAGCAGCTTGTGCACTGCCCTTTGCCGCCCACCAGCTACCCTCGCGCTCTTCCTGCCGCTCTTTGCCTACGCTGTGGCCATGGCGACACTGAACGTTCTAGCGTTTGAGCCTGACAGTAGCCCAATCGAATTCACCACCTGGCTTGACGATTTACAGCTGTTCCTTATGGCCGATGCCAAAGACGGTGTTTCACTGTTCGATCACGCGTCTTGCTCCTGAGTTGGTCCTGCTGACACTGCTGACGCCCTCTCTCGCTCTCAGTGGCAGACTCGTGATGCTGCAGCGCGCCTCGCTATTCGCAATCACTTACCGATCACTGAGCGAGCTCACTTTAGCCAGCACAAGACCACTAAGGCTCTCTACGACGCTGTAGTTGCCCGCTATTCTTCCCCTGCAACTGCAGCCATCGGCCGCCTTATGCTGCCCTACCTGTTCCCAGATCTCTCCTCGTTTGCCATTGTTGAGGATCTTAT